ATATAATATAACTACACATATTTTGAGGGGCATGCGGTAGCGTGGTGGTTGAGAGGCTACACTACAAGCCGGAAGGTCGCGGGTTCAAGTCCCGATGAGGTCACTGGATTTTCTTCAGTTGACCTAATCCTTCCAGCCTCACTAGGCCCAGGGATTTACGCAGCCTCTAACAGAAATGAGTACCAGGAATTAATTCAAATAATTTTCCTGGCTAGTAAAGTGCGGCCGGCGCGTAAGGCTGACAACTTTACCGCCATCTTTGAGCCCATTGTCTAGAAAATGTGGGACCCTCAATGTTTCACAACCCTATGGGCCTTCACGGCCTGGTATGGGGATAGCTTACTTTACTTTACACATATTTTGAGAGGCTTCCAATTGAATAACATAAGTAGGAAAATTATTTAATGCTCTACAGAACTTGATAACCATTCAGTCCAGAACAATTTATCTTCTCGTTTGCTGTCCAAAAACATAAAAATTAGAATATACAAGACTATAACTTTGCCTGTGGTTCTGTGTGTGTGAAACTTGGTCTCTGACATTAAGGGAGGAACATAGACTGAGGGTGTTTGAGAACGGTATTCAGGCAAATATTTGGACCAAATAGGGATGAAGTGACAGGAGGTTTGAGAAAACTGCATAATGAGGAGCTTCATAACTTATACTCTTCTCCAAGTATAATTAGAATGATTAAGCCAAGGAGGATGAGATGGGAATGGCATGTAGCACGAATTGGGGAGAAGAGGAATGCATATTCATAGATATAGGTACGAAAGCCAGAAGGAAAGAGACCACTGGGAAGACCAAGGCATAGATTGGTGAACAATATTAAAATTGATCTTAGAGATTGGATTGATCTGGCTCAGAACAGGGACGAGTGGGGGGCTCTTGTGAACATGGTAATGAACCTTCGGGTTCCATAAAATGGTGGGAAATTCTTGAGTAGCTGCAGATTTGGCAGCTCCTCAAGAAGGGCTCAGCTCCATAAGTAAGTAAACAACTTGATATAACACGACTTATTCTTCTATTTCAGTTTCGAACCTGTGGTAATCCAGAATGGGCAGTAAGTTTAAGTTTCCAACCATGTCACCAGACACAAGAATGAAGTCACTCCTTATAAGTGCCTTTGCATCCAAGTCCCGCATAGCGTCACCAAGTGAGCGACAGGTCTCAGACACTATCACTGTTACTACCATGGAAGAGGTGAGCTCATTCCACTTGCTCTGCCTACAAAATGTGATATAATGCATAAGATTAAATGAAACTTAAGAACTGCATATGTATCACCACAGATAATTCTAGAATAACTGTCTCAAACTTATTTTATCTTCAAAACAGTTTCTTAAAAGCATGAACTGTTTTCATGTATATTGCTCAACTTCCAGTTTCATTCAAAATAATGCAACCCCTTGCAGATAAAAAATGGAAGAGACACTCATAATCACTTTCAAAGTATTTCAAATTAAATACTGTTACAGAAAAAAAGACACTTATAATGCTTGAAAATGTCACACATGAAACACCTATTAATTCTTTTTAAACAGAGGAGTATTTGCATAATTTTATCAAACAGAGCATAATACGAGCAGTTATCGTAATGAAATTTATCACTGTTGTCATCATCATTCTTTCCAGTAACAGGCTTACTAAGACCTTTTACAGGTACTATAGAACAAAATCCTTATATAATTTCAAGGACTTCCTAACCATCTTTTTCTGCCAACATTCAGCGGTGGCTTGGTTGGTATAGTTGGCTTGCGAACTAAAACCACGGAGTTTGTTTGTTTCATATTTCCAGATCTTTTAGAACCCTGTCAGTGCTCAGCCTGACAATCTGATCTATCCAATATGCTTTATATTGTTCTATACATCATGTTACCTTTGAAATTCCAGCTCTTTTGTAATGTTTTATTTCTTTTATAGGCCAAAAGTGTATCCTGCAGTCCTCTTCATAAAATTCCTTTTTGCTGATATCAGTTAGTCCTTCTTGACCATGACCCACTATCACAACATTGGTCTAGCAAATCTGTGTTCTTGTATCCACCACAAACTAACAATGTTTTGAAGATCTCATCTATAACTATTTCCAAAATATTTACAATTTTTATATCAAAATATCCTTTATAGGATATATTGCATCATGTTATTTCTGTGAATGACAACTAACGACTTGGACTTGAAGAGAACTTTGCCATACATTTGTATATTCATTCATTCATTCATCAGTAATCTGTCAAGACGACAGGTCCACAGTCTCTTCCAAAACAGTTCCTCCACTTGATGCGATCTAGAGCTTTCTCCTTCAAATGAAATATCTCGCATACATGGTATCTCTGGTTTTGGAAAGAGACTATCCAGGAAAAGTGATAATGTGGTAGTTTTTCCATTTGCTTTCCACATCGCAGTACAACAGCCGTTCAAACCACTCTGGTCACGCCTGTTGCTATACGAACTTGAACCATCTCGAGCATTATTTACTCTGTGCTTCAAGTCGCTGCTGATGACGCTGCTTCCGGCATCAGTTTTTGGTGTCTCTCTTCGTCTGATGCCTACCCTTTGACCTGTCCAGCAAGGGAGGCCCTGCCAGTAGCTACGCTACCGCTGGTATAGCTCTCAGGGTCCTTGGCATACTCAAACCCCCTCACCACGATTAGGTGGAGCCACCAACTCTTCACATTTGTATATATGGATACTAAAAACATGAAAGATTTAAAATTCTGTAAAATTTCTATTTTTGTATCAATTCTTTCCTACCACTAAAAATTCTATGTAAACCTGTTCCCAAAATTAAGTTTACAAATTTAACCATTCACAGAGGTGAGAACCCTTTATCAGAGCTTCCATAGATATACTAAACACTTGCAGAGAAGTTATGACGTTCCTTCCCAAACCAAGCTGAACAGTCAGTAACAGTTCTTACTATCCCTTATTGCACCTTCCATTACTGCATGAAATGTATGCTCTTATCCACGAAAATGGAGTATCAGTCTCTATACTATACTTNTGTCTCTCTTCGTCTGATGCCTACCCTTTGACCTGTCCAGCAAGGGAGGCCCTGCCAGTAGCTACGCTACCGCTGGTATAGCTCTCAGGGTCCTTGGCATACTCAAACCCCCTCACCACGATTAGGTGGAGCCACCAACTCTTCACATTTGTATATATGGATACTAAAAACATGAAAGATTTAAAATTCTGTAAAATTTCTATTTTTGTATCAATTCTTTCCTACCACTAAAAATTCTATGTAAACCTGTTCCCAAAATTAAGTTTACAAATTTAACCATTCACAGAGGTGAGAACCCTTTATCAGAGCTTCCATACATATACTAAACACTTGCAGAGAAGTTATGACGTTCCTTCCCAAACCAAGCTGAACAGTCAGTAACAGTTCTTACTATCCCTTATTGCGCCTTCCATTACTGCATGAAATGTATGCTCTTATCCACAAAAATGGAGTATCAGTCTCTACACTATACTCACTTGATATGCTCTTTGATGAGATCTGCATGTGAGCTGCAGAAAAGAACCACTTCCTGAACTGAAGACAATGCCAGACATTGAAGTGTATAATCAAGCAGTGGTGTATTTACTACAGGTATCAAGGCCTGAAAAATTTGACATATTACAACAATCTGGTTTTATATAACAGTCAACTCAGGTCATTTGTAAGTTGTCTGAAAGACTGAAACTGAACTGTCAGAAGAAAATGGCAGAGGGATGGTGATATGATATATACACACGTTAAACAAAGAATATTAATTTAGGCTTCTACTGATTCTACTGATACCAATATGGGTACAAGGTAGTATGGTTGAGGCACTANCAGAGAAGTTATGACGTTCCTTCCCAAACCAAGCTGAACAGTCAGTAACAGTTCTTACTATCCCTTATTGCGCCTTCCATTACTGCATGAAATGTATGCTCTTATCCACAAAAATGGAGTATCAGTCTCTACACTATACTCACTTGATATGCTCTTTGATGAGATCTGCATGTGAGCTGCAGAAAAGAACCACTTCCTGAACTGAAGACAATGCCAGACATTGAAGTGTATAATCAAGCAGTGGTGTATTTACTACAGGTATCAAGGCCTGAAAAATTTGACATATTACGACAATCTGGTTTTATATAACAGTCAACTCAGGTCATTTGTAAGTTGTCTGAAAGACTGAAACTGAACGGTCAGAAGAAAATGGCAGAGGGATGGTGATATGATATTGTCACGTGTTGGGTATATGTCACACGACAAATAACTTCACGCCTTATTTGATATAGTGAATTTATTCCACTTGCTCTTACAATTATACAATTTACAATCTCAACATTACTGCCATTGGCAGTATTGCAAATACTCCAGTGAAAGATAGAAAGCAATTGACTGGTTACTCTCTCTCTAGTAACTCACTCACTAGTAACTGGCTCAATACTAAATAATCACAGAATTCAGCGATCGCTACATTGAAACTAAACTCCTGAATAGTGTTCGCTGCTCTATATTTAGCCTCAGCACGGACAACGCAGAAAACAGTTACGTGATAGGTACCGTTGTTGCCTGACGCTGTGTTTACAGGTTGCCTAACAACACTGTCGAGAGTTGTTTACTGCTCTGTAGCAACCATGGCATCCCTTGGTAACATCACCACAGGAGGGGGCGGGGTGTTGACTGGCCTGTTAACGTAGCAGCGGCAACGCTCCGAAGGTGTTACATCACCACTGGAGGGGGAAGGGCCGTCCAGCATAGCGCAAATATGTCACAATATATACACACTTTAAACAAAGAATATTAATTTAGGCTTCTACTGATAACAATATGGGCAAGTGATAGCATGGTTGAGGCACACTGCTACAAGCCAGAAGGTCACGGGTTTGACTCCTGATGAGGTGGATTTTTTCAACTTACCTAATCCTTCCAGCTGCACTATGGCCCAGGGGGCAACTCAGCCTCTAACAGAAATGAGTATGAGGAATCTTCCTGGGGGGCGAAGGGAGGTCGGCGCATAAGGCTCACAACCTTACCGCCATCTGTGAGCTGACTGTCTAGAGAAAATGTTGGAGCCTTGACATCTCACAACCCTATGGGCCTTCATGGCCTGTTACAGGGATAGCTTTACCTTTTATCTTATTTTACCTTACTAATACCAATAACCATCACCTTTTTGCAGTAATAAATTGTGTTGTCATATTAGATACAAAACATGTTATTGTTCAGCAATACTTCACCTTGTTTCACATCAGTGTGGTAGGGGATTAGATACAAGAAGAGTAGGCATAAATTCTACATATTATCCATTGTCAATATTGAGTTTGTAATGTAAGTAAAAACACAAGTCTCATGAAAAAATTTTATCTTTTCCCATGACAGAGATAATAATTCAGAAACCTCAAAATCAAACAGGGCAAAGGTTGTAGACAACCAACCAGAACATAAAAGAGACATAGGTTTGGAGCAAGGGGTTTAATCCTCACCACCTAATACACCATATGTAAGTATGACCATGTCATTAAAGAACACAAATATGAAATGAATTGTCTAACTTATTATCCACCCTATAATATTAACAGAAACTGTTTCTTGATCTGGCATAGGTGTGGTAGAATGTGTATGGTTGTGGCAGTCTTGCTGTTTCCTATGTCCAGTGACACAGTGGAGAAACAACACTATGTTTGATGATGCACCAATTCTTATGCATTTAAGCACGCTGCTTCAACTATGGATTATACAATGCACACACGATGCAATTATCATGACTAATGAATAGGGAAGGCACTGAATAGCATTTATGGTCGATTTTAAGGGATACTGTGGCATCTGCTTACAGAGAATGAAGAAAAAAACTTCAGCCATAACCCTAATACATTATACTAACGCGCTCATAACCTATTTTATACTTTAACCTACAAGACAAGGATATACATAGCAATCAAACAAATTTGTTCTGTTTTGGTATTCACATTCAAATTGAACTAGTTTCCTGTCAAAATTAGGTTATGTTGCAAACAACACTGCAAGCTATATTTTTCTAAAATTACAGAACGGCAGAATGACAAAACAATTATAAAGGAAACATACTGTTGGTACAGAATATGTAATGGGGTGAAATCCTCCTTTGAAGCTGTCAGCAATCACAACTGCTTGTACTAGGTCTTCCTTTTTCAATGCTTCTGTTGGCCCTTTCCCCCCTTTCGGGCCTTTTCGCGACATTTTGTGCAGATAATTATTGTAATTCGTACTGCAGCGCACATCAGATAGTGCAGCTTACGAAATGGAACTAACAAACCATTATACTAAGTCGAAAGGCCATACGAAAAAACACGTTCCAACATTCACATAACCTCTTCACCAGTTTTCTCTGATGGAAACATGCCAAACGATCTATCGTACTATTGAATAATCGATTGTAACAGAATTTGTCCACCATTCTGTGCGAAGATTCATCCTAATTTTAGTTTTTAATTTCTTAATTACCAGTATATTGAATTCTTTAGGAGACACTCTGAATTCCTCGATAGTTAACGTAATATACTTTACAATGCATTACTTACGAAAAAAGTAGTTGCCTCATTATCTATAGTAGAGTAATTGATTCTCTGATACAAACCCATACGTTATCTTTGGCGATACTAGCAAATCGATTCGTTTCAGCCCGCCAATTGTAACACACAAATCACTTTGTACGCTTTCGTGACAATTTTTGCAAGCATTGTAAACCTTATAGATTATGTCAGCGGCAGCATACCCACTAGCGGAGAAACAGGTCTTTAATCTTCTTTAACGTCGCATCATTTTGTATACTGGTATTATGTTAGGGGTGAACGAAGATCAACACACACGTTGAAGAGAATGCACTCACCCCTCCAGTTTGGGTGTAGTGTGGATCTTGCGAATGGGCTGGTAGGCTGGTAACCCCCCACGTGTCGTTTGTCTGTGTTCCACACTGCAGACGTCCTACAAACAGGCAAGGTAAATAAATACATGCATATATATTCTTAGTTTTTTCCCCCACTCTCAACACAACAACCATTACAATCTCATTTATATTTCACTGTGTATAATACATGCATACTGGAAAACACAACCACAAAGGCGTTTCTAGAGTGCAACACGCCGTTGCCCTCCCCCCTCACATACATACACACACACACACACACAGTATGCGACTTTACGTGCCTCACGCTGTTCATTACACCCAAAGCCAATCCTAAACAAGTCAAAGCATGCTTCTTTATTGATATTAATAGCTTGTTCCAACATAAAGCTCTGAGCATAAGGTGAGGAATGTGAAGTGACAAATGTCTAATGAACAAAAGGTTTTGGACAAACTTTAAGGCACATTTTTATGATCATTTTTTACTTTTTTGTTATTGTTTGTTTTCCTATTATTGGATTTAGAATAATATGTTGACAAAAAGAATAATATTTACAATTAAATTTGTGCTTGCTGAATGTACAAGGGGGCCACTTAAAATTGGAGCACAAGCACACAAGCACGATGGCATAGTACTTGCACCCCTGCCTGAAATTTTAGGAAATATGTCATGCAGTATTTCAATTTTAATTTTCACAATAAAGTCAAACCTATTAAAAACCATCCTGTGGTAACGAACAATGCCTTTATTGGAACATTCCTTAATTTCCATGGTAGGCCTATATAGTTGTAACAAATGTAAGAATACTTCTATTAAACAGAAAATATTTAACGTGTAAATTAAAGGAAAAATTCAAGAAATCTGAACTTATTTCTCTATTTATAAGTAATATTCCTTGCTGTACCTGTTGGAATTTATCTGAGAAGGAACGTGGGAGGAAAGGATTAGGTCTGGTTAGCGATCAATATTTGCAGAATACCTAAGGGACTATTAGCAGGAAGAACAAACAGAAGTGGGCAGACCCCTCTGAAATTTCCTTGCACTCCCATGAAGTGCATTATTGAAACCCAAATCAGCACCGCCTGCCCAATTTTTTTAAATAATTCACAGATCATGCTTTATGTTCCATGACTTTGTGTTCAGGAAATAAAAGAGAGATCTGTAGTACCTGAAGAACACTGTAAAGGACTGCATGTATGGTTACTGTATCTAATACAACGAAAAATGTGCTAGTTGTTAAGATGATAATTGTGGTTATACACGTACATTTCCCCCATCCTTTAATATCGCTTAACAATCATTTATGAATAATTTTTATCAAATTCTGAAATTAAGGCAATACCCTCCCTCCATGCATAGGTAGAGAATTTTGTCCTACTTAAACAAGGGCGCCATGTTACCGATTTCCACAACATATGGTGGAATTCTAAAGGGAAAACTGTCAGCATGTTTTCACAGATCTTGTGCAGAAAATTCTTGAATTCAGAAAATAATAAAGGTGATAGTAAAACATACGAGTACAAGAATTGTATCTTATTAATATATATATATATATGTTAATCTTGTGGAAATCAATTCGAAAAATGAATAAAAAATTAATTTATTGGGTCTTTATTCATTTTTAACTAGCTATACTCTGCGTATCCTATACCGTTTTATCAGATCTTAAGGGTTATTAATAAAATCTGAACGCATTTTTCCTTCATTTATAAATTGTATTTAATTTTCATTCTTTAGTCAGTAATCTGTCAGACGACAGGTCCACAGTCTCTTCCAAAACAGTTCCTCCACTTAATGCGATCTTCTGTTTTTGGAAAGAGACTATCCAGGAAAAGTGATAATGTGGTAGTTTTTCCATTTGCTTTCCACATCGCAGTACAACAGCCGTTCAAACCACTCTGGTCACGCCTGTTGCTATACGAACTTGAACCATCTCGAGCATCATTTGCTCTGTGCTTCAAGTCGCTGCTGATGACGCTGCTTCCGGCATCAGTTTTTGGTTTTTGGTGTCTCTCTTCGTCTGATGCCTACCCTTTGACCTGTCCAGCAAGGGAGGCCCTGCCAGTAGCTACGCTACCGCTGGTATAGCTCTCAGGGTCCTTGGCATACTCAAACCCCCTCACCACGATAAGGTGGAGACACCTTTATATGGATTATCTCGTCGCAGAATCTCGTCCAAACGTAGCACTACTTCAGCCATTGACTTTCAAACTGTTCTGTCGTTGTTTCAGCAGAATCCAAAATATAAAACTGTTCATATTCTGGCGTATTTGCCTCGCCTGGATATAACGGCGTGAATAACATTTAAATGTGGTCGTGTATCAGGAAATAATATGGACTATTTCCAGGCGTCAATTCTATAGCCCCCTTTCTTCGCGGGAACGCCACTGCTAAATTGTACTCTCCATGTACGTAAATTACGAAGCCGTGTAAACAAAGCGGTCATAACGTATTTCATGATGCTATCCCAGCATATAAATGGAGAGACTAAGTGGAAGCAAGAACATACTAGCGGCAGTAAGGGAAACCGGGATATCTTGAATACAAAATAAGAGTACTAAATATCGAGGGGCCACATTTGGTACAAGTAAATGGAAGAATATTTAGCAACTGTTTTGAAATTCGTGTTCAGAAATTGCTGCTATTCCATGATCAAATTTCGTTGAAAGAGAAATCTTCTCACCAAGTGATCAATAACTCACTAGCATTCTGTCATTCTTATTCCGCATATGGCTACGGTGTAGCCAGCTGATCCATGATGTTTTCCTTCTATCATAACACAACTTCTATCACGTGACTACAAGAGATTATCATGATCATGAAGTAATCAAGCTACGCGTGTTATGCAACCATAAAACCAGTTACACAACGAAAGTTGTCATTGATAATTCACGAGTTTCTTCTCAGTAATTATTCATATGAATGATATATGAAATGAGTGTATATTTGCTGTAAAATGAGCCGTATGGTGTAAATTGGCGGCATTCATAGTGTTCCGACGAATCATCGAAATATGTTTTCCGTTTATTCACTGAATCATTATAACTTCCTTCGCCAG